GGCTGCAGGGGAATCTCTGCTCCGGTGCCTGGAGCACCTCCTCCCCCTTCTTCTTCACTGACCTTGGGGTCTGCAGGGCTGTTTCTCTCACATATTCTCACTCCTGTCTTCGGCTGCAGTTGCCATTGCGCCTTTTTCCCCCCCATCTTAAATCTGTTCTCCCAGAGGCACTACCACGATCACTGATGGGCTCAGCTTTGGCCAGCTGCGGGTCCATCTTGCACCCAGCTAGCACTGGCTCCATGGGACATAGGGGAAGCTTCTGGCTTATTCTTACAGAAGCCACCCCTGTAGCCCCCACCGCTACCAAACCTTTGCCACGCAAACCCAATACACACTCTATACTTGTATAGATTCAAAGATCTACATAAGTGTTTTGAAAGTAATGGATTAAATAACGGATGAAACCTATGTGGAGGTATCCCTGTTTCAAAGGTCTTGCAAAAAAGGGAGAGCTTAAGCTGCTTTGCTGTTACTGGCATGGCAGTGCACAATAGGTTGTAACTAATGCAGATTACAAGTTAATGAAGCATAGGTGGCATGACTCAATCTGTCACCCTCAGAAGCTACTCTCTGGATGTCAGCACATATCTAATAGCCTTGTGGAGCTTTGTACTGTAGCATTCACAGGGTGTTAGTTAGTCACTAGAAATCACTGGTAATAATTCCAGGAAATGTTTTACACAGTTCAATGTACAACAGTTCCAGGAAACATACTGTGTAGCCTTTATCATGATCAGAGCATATACAATCAAAGAAAACTGTCCTTAATGTAAGACAAGTTCTCTCTGGCCCCAATCTAGAAAAGCACTGAACTATGTAAATGAGGCAAGGCAAGGCAAATGAAAATGTAAAATATGGTAAGTAACAGGAATATTTCTATTTAAATTGGCTGAGAGGCAGTTGGAAAAAACAAGCACACTTTCAGAAACAAACTCTTTTTCCAGTTCTACATACCACAGCAGCACTTGCAACCTATATAACTTTGTGAACATAATTGACTATGTCAAAGAGGCAGCTGATATTCAGCAAATTATGGAGCCAAGTAAGTGTTTTCCAAACCAGGTGTCACCTCTTTCTCACGAAAGACATGAGTAGAGAGAGGCAAGATGCTGAAGACACAGAATATAAATACCAATTCTTTCCTTCTGCAGACTGGAACAGGTTTTGCTACACAATGGTCAGACTGCTTCCCACTATGCAGTGCCATACGTCTATGGTTCCCAAATTTTGTGAGTCTGTGGATCACTGACAGACCTCCAAATTTCAGCTAGATACAGGTAGCTTTAAAGTCACTTAAGCATGTTGCTCAGTAGTGGCATATAGCTGGCATGGTGGCTCTGAACTTCAGCCCCAACAGCAGTGGTAGAAGACAAATATGTGTCTAGGACATTGGTGCAGGGCAAGGGAAGCTCTGTGAACTACTTCATGATGGTTTTACAGAGGAAAAAAAAAAAAAAAAAAAATCAAAGCATTTTCTTGTTGCTATGGCATTCTGCAGCATAGGGATTCATTATAGCAACCAGTGCACTACCTCAAAAGGCATAGATCAGAATGCACGGGTTGCCATGGTTGCCATAGTGAAAATAGACATTTTCTTTTTGCTATATTGGCTGGTGCCTTTGGTGTCAGGTGACTAGAAATGTCAGGAACATGGGAGCACACTACATGAGATTGCTGCATGTTTTTGCTGGTGGCAAGTATAGATGGTAGTTCACAACCATGTTTGTCTATATGAAGTGAGAAAATCTTGAGTTTTTACGTGCAAAATGTTGCATGTTACCAGGATTAAATATATGTAAGAACTATTCTACTTGGGTCTTGTTGCTTACTTGTTTCCACATGCTAGGGA